CAGTGACTGCCACCATGACCCTTTAAGGATAGTTCAACTGACTGGTTTTGAGAGGATGTATAAGTAGTGCACTTACTTAAACTACAAGTATACTTGATTAAGAATTCTTTAAATACGAGCAAAGAAGCAACCATAAATCAATTCTGATGTTTTTCCTTCCTGTTAGGCCCTTGAATGTGTTGAGTAAGAGCAACATGGCTAAAAAGTACACAAACTTTGAATTTACCAAGTGCAACTACATTAGAAACAATAATTAGATATGCTATTGATGATCTGTGGAAAACAAAGCAATATATAAACCCATCACTCCTTTGCATTGCTAATCTTAAGCAACTGTCCCATCCTCAGTGAAATTACTTTTCTTGTGATCTTCACAGATCTTAACGGAAGAAAGCTGAGCTGGAATCGTACTTAATCACTGTGACACAGTCAGAAAATCCAAGATACAACATCAGTGGTGTCTGCCCCATCTCGTGACTTTATGTGTCACACTAAAGCTCTGTCTGTCTGTGGCTCTGACCGCAGCTTTACAGTGGCTCGCTGCTGCGCTGATTACACAGATGTGTACATGGTGGATATGTAGGGCATGCATCTTAAGAAGAACTAGTTGATCTGCTGGGACACAAGTGCTACCGACAATCTGGTCTGCGCATGTGCGAGCCACTGTGTGCGTGATGGATGATGCAAATTGAGGTAAAAATCCAAATGAAATGTTCAGATATTGTAATCCGATGTAGAGAGATGGAAAGCTAAGCAGCACGAGGCTCAGATACATTATATAACATATTATATGGCTGAGAAACAAAACTCACCAGATAATAGGTCTTGATTTGCTGGACAAGGAAGTTCAGGTTCTGGATCCTCTGACTTGGATCCCCGCTCACTTTGTTTGCACCCTGAGATGTGGCTGAGGGATTTCTGACGATGGGACACAACATAAAGGCGTTTTACTTGACATTTCTGCTCTTCACAAACAAACAAATGGTTGTCAGCGGAGTGGAGTGAGAGGAAACTGCGAGCTGGTACAAGTCTTGGCTCAAGGATCGCCATGAAAACATGTATGAGGTCTCTATTCATTCCTAACTTTAGCCTGGGTGACGTCATTCCTTTCATCCAACAAACTGGGCTGTTTGCGAGCCAAACGGGGTGGTCTGCCCGAAAGGAAACCCTTTAGCTGGATTCTTGGGCTGTTGGCACGGGTCTACTGTATTCTGGAGTTGTACTGTCATACATTACAGCTGACTTGTTATAATGGAGCATTGTGCAGTGGGGCAACAAAGTGTGAGTCTGACCAAAATAGGTCAGACTCACACCTTGTTACCCAGGAAAGGAAAGCTGTTGTGTAAAATTAAATTTACAGCTGTGAAGAAAGATAGAGACAGACATAAAGACGTAATGGACGACAGACAGAGAGATGCTGCCCAGCTGCCCAGCACCACTCCACCTGTCTCTATCTCCTCTCTGTCTCCTCCTCCTCCCTCCCATCTGTGTCCCAGTGCCACTAAACACCAGCAACAAGGCCCTAATCCCAGAGGGTCTCCCAATCCAGGAGATTATCCCGCCTCTTCCCCTCCCCTCGTCGCAGCATTGTTTTGCATTTAGAGCTGGTTATTGTGACTCTGGGGGATAAGTGGGATGAATGCATACTGTAGACTTGTGGTTGGCTAGACAGCATTATCCACAAGTGCATTGGGTCATCAGTTTTTTACCCTCTTCTTTGCAACTCTTCAGTTTCAGTTAGTACTCTACCGTGAAGTGCCATTTCATCCTGACAGGGAGGCTAAAGTAAGTGTTAGTTTGCAGACATCCTTCACACAGCTGCCAGAGGAACATAAGTTAGTGTTTTTTATGGGTGAGGGTAATTCCCTCAGAACATAAGGCACCCAAGTCATAATCTCTTAAGTAGCGACTTGACAGTATCTATGATGTCCCTCACGTCTTGGCAGATCTGATCCATTTGTAGTCCTTTTCTTCTCTGTGGTGTCCCTCAGTGTTGAGTAGGTGTAACTTTCATGCTAATTTTAACATTTTCTTTTTGAGAAACCCTAACCTGTAAGTAATGAGGAAGTTGCATTTAAAGACTGCTGCAGACTACAAAGATCCCCTTTATTACTGCAGAGTGACAAAGCCAGTACTGTTGGTGCCCGGATAAGAATGTTAGGAGACGCTTGATACTGTATCAGTAGCTGCTATAGATGGCACAAGGAGGGGTGGGGTGGGGGGGGATACCTAATTCTTAAAAAAAATACGATGATGTGCATGCACTGACATTTCATCTTTTTTTTTCATCGAGTTTTTTTTCCCTTTAAACCTCACAGTAAAACTTAATGGCAGATGCTGTATGAAGTCTACGGCAGCCGGCAGCTTCAAAACACAGGCTACTAATCTGAATATCCGTCTGGGCACTGCTCATAACCCAGATTATGAATGTGACAAATGAAATATAAGCTGCAAGAACAAAGCTGGCATGAAGTGACTTACATTTGCGTCATTATGTCATTCAGAAAGACTCCATCCAGTAATTCAGAAAAGTGTATGCCCCCATCATGTGGCAAGAACGTCTTCACCTAAATAACAAGGAAGAATACAGGGTGAGAGGTTTGATGTCACAGCGCCTGGCAGAAAATCAGAGCCTCCTGCATTACTTACCCAAGTGACAAGTGGGCTCAGCATGAATTGATCCAGACAGGGAAGAAAAACTCCACTTTCCATCGTTACCAAGGTTGTGGGTGATCAATCTCAGCAGAATATCCCAGCTGTTTCATTTAGGAAAAGGCAGACAGCAGCCTGGTAGCTACATTTTCTTCAGAAGTGAGGCAGTCCTGCAGAAGTGCACCACTCAAGTTGTCCCATCCATCTTATTTAAACTAGTTGGGAATGTCCTCCTGGCACTGCGGTTCGGATGGTCGGCGTCCTCGCTCACAAGATCCCTCCTCTTGCAATAGCTACATCCACGACATCCACCGGCAGGTTACAGCTCACTCCTATCTGCATTTTGTCCCGCAACACCACAAACACACTAACATCCTCCTTGCTCCTCTGCTGCAAAGGCATCTACCGCCAGCCCCCCCCCACCCACCCCATCATCAACCCCTCCTCCTCCTCATCATCCTCCTCCTCCTCCCAGCTTCCCTGATCGTCACACAGAAACTGCTGTATGTATGAGTGATTTCAAAAAAATATATTTAACAAAAAGTTAAAATTTTAGCCACATGTGCTATATTAACTTTTAAAAAAAGCAGAAAACAAACGCATAGCCTAGAAAACCACACACTGAAATGTCCCCTGCCTTCGGATCCATAGTTTGAAGCCACTGCAGCAGGAAGTGCTAACAGAGCTATCTGAAATATCTTTTCCTTTAATCTGTTACCATGACGACGGCGCTCCCACCCCTCCCCATCAGCAGCCTCTCTTTCACACGACAACAAAAGCAACACTGCTGCTCACACACCCACTGCAACGTCAGCCTCCACCGTGAGCAACCGTAACTTTTAGTAATGGGGTTTTCAGTATTCATTTTAATTCGCTTATTAGTTAAAAAAAAAAAAAAAGATATAACCAAATCTAACCGAGCCACCAACTACAAACGTTAATAAAGTTTCCTTTAACGCAACTACCCTTAATTCATGTCCAAGTAGATTCTCGGAGCCTGTTCAGCCACATAAATAAATAAATAAATAAATAAATACGTAATTTAGCCCAGTACTTATCTATATCCAGGTCATATAACCCTGGATGTGATGAGGTTCTTTACTCTGAATACAAAACCTCTCAACTCATCATGGCAACCTTTGGCTGCCAGTGGCAGTATCAGAGAATAGTATCAGCATGTGATGGTGCTATGGCGCCACCTTGTGTTGACTGGAGATTGAAGGGAAATATGGAAGTCTGTCGTGTCTGTCTGTTATGAATACTGTAAAAACCTTGTATATTGTGTCTTCTTATATGGATGTTTATGTTGTTTGTATATTATTGTTCTTGTTTATCATTGTAAATACAGTTGTTTATATAGTTGCTTTTTTAAAAAAAAAATTCTTCTCTATATCTTGCTGTTCAGTTCAGTTTTTATCAACTGCATTGCATTATACTGAGAGTATTTAGATTAATTGATATAAATACAGGTCGACAAAAAGGTAAAACAATACAATTCAGCAAAAGACACACATATTTATGTATGTATATATGTACGCATATATCTATATACACTCCTTTTGTATTAAAAGGAACCAATAGTTTGTTATTTAAAATAAAAATTAAATCCAAGTATTCCATTTAATGCACTGGTTCAAAAACTGGACTTTGACTGCAAAGGGATGATAAATCTGTGTGTGGGTGGTGTGTGTAGGCCACTGTTTACTAACACACCACCAGTGGCTTAATATGGTTCATGCTGTCTGCCTGAGTTCATTACAGAGCGTAGATGGAGGATCAGAACAAACTTCATATCAAACTGAATTCATGTTTCGTACTATTTTTAAGGTAAAGAGTCATTTCTTTGACATACCAAAGTGGCTCCATTTACCCTTGTAGTAGTGCATTATCTAAAATGCGTTGTTGGAGCAGTTTGAAAAGATAATACTATACACACTGAGCTCATTAGAAGTGCTTGCCTGCAAACATGCATGTTTTTTTTCTTATTACTTAAAAACCATGAAGGTCTTTATTGAAACCCAACAACAGGAACTGATTATATCAAGAGGCCTCCTCATGTTTCGAATCTGAACTTCTTTCATCCTCCCAACCTAACAAGAGACACGCTGGTAACTTACCTACAGCTTATTAGTGTCTCTGAGAAAAGGAAAATATGAACAGTGGTTGGGCAGCACTACATTAGTCAATGCTAATTAAATTATTTAAAGCAGGAAACAAATTAAAGAGAAAGCAAAACACGGCCATGAAAGTCACACTATTGTCTGACCTTGTTCTCTGGAATATGTTAATAAATGTTGGCCACTCGACGCTTCCCCCTTAAGTGATGCTGAAATAAACACAACAACAAATTTGAAAAAAAGTACATTTTATTCAGATGAGAATTTTCAATGAGATGATAAACAGCTGTTGTCACATCTGTAAAACTACAGCATAAGCTTCTCTCTCTCTCTCTCTCTCTCTCTCTCTCTCTCGTGTGTGTGTGTGTGTGAAGAAATTGATTTATTAAAATTAGAGGCAATATGGAGTTAAAGTACTAAAGGCTATGCAAATCCAAAAGTATTCAAAAGTTTATAAAATACATATTAAAATGGTAAACAAAAATAGTGCATCATTAATAAATGCTAAATGTGATTTGTTGTGGTGAGTTCGACAGGATATGTTTATGGATTTAAATGTGTAACATAGAGCGTATTTGATAATTAGCATATTGCTTCTCCAAGTATATAGTTTGAATTTGAATATTGATTTCAATATTCATGCAGCATAACATGCTTATATAACAGTCAACAATTAATTAGGCAATCAGATACTATTACTGTAACTTGCAACTGTGGTGCATATAAATTATTAGCTCAACGTTGTCTTTATTGATTGTAATTCAATCTATTAAAATAACATCACAAAATCAAAGTCAAGTCACATTCTCATACTGTGTAAATAATGTGTTATATAATCTATAGTATTCAGGCTTTTGAGACTTTAGGATATAGAAAGACATTCTGTGCTTATAAAGATAAAGGGTTGTTCCACTCGTTTTCATTTTTTGGATTGTTGCAGGCTTCTGTATTTTCCCTGTTGATCTTTGTTTCCTTGCAGACTCTTAGCATAACGTGACCTCCAGTCTCTTTCGAAGGCAGCCTTGACATGTTCCAGGAATGTCACTTCCCTGTTTTGAAGACTATTTTTCATCTGAACCACCAGCCCAACTCCTGCATTAATGGCAAAGTCACTGCCAACCCAGTCATGGTTACCTGTGGACAAACAGCAAACCTTAGATATTGTGTCAGGTATTATTACTCTGATTTCCAGTTCTGTGCTTTTCTTCTTGATGTTTGCGCGCACACACACACACACACACACACACACACACACACACACACATATATATAGTCTGGTGTGTCTTGGTGTCTGTGTGTGAGTGATTAGAGGTTAATAGAACAACATAGTATACTGTATACAGTACATTAGACAATTACACTATTTACAACACAATAACTATATTAGAAAAATAAGCTGTTTCGCTTTCTTGCCGAGGATCAGATGAGAAGATTGATACCATTCTCACATACGTCTGTTAAATATGAAGCTACAGAGGGTTAGCTTAGCTTAGCCTGGCTCTGTTTGAAGGTAAAAAAAAATCAGAAGTCATTGATTAATATGTTATATCTTGTTAGTTTACTACATACAAAAAGGGTTTTTCTTGGACTGTGAGTTCCTGGAGTCTCTTCTGGTTTTAATAGAAAACCTCAAGGTGACAACAAGACCAGAAGTCCCCCGTAAATTGTATGCTAGTGCTAAACTAGCTGGCAACAGGCAAATGTGTGTTTGGGAGTGTGTCTGTATGTGCGTTTGTGTTTTCTTAGCTCAGCCTCCGTCTGAAGGAACTCACCAGAGGCCCTGGTTCTTTCTCTTATGTCCCTCCAGTTTCTCTCCTTTGTCCTCTTGTGTTTGTTCTTCTATTACGTAGATTCATAAAGCCCTGGGAGCTAGTTGAAACATTTTCAATTTGTGCAGATGCATTAATTCATGCCTTACATTTTTAGTCTGATCACCTCTTTCCAGTGACTTTGTACGCCATCACGTCCCCTCTAAAGTTTGCTTTGTTCTTTCCCGTAACCCCACAATGATGTCATGAGTTTAGGAAGTTACTGCTCCAAGCAAAGAAAAGTCCAGAGGTTCTCAGGCAGATTTGTTTTTCTTTGGACAGAGCCAGGCTCATTACCCTCAGTTTTCAGACAAACAAACTAATTGTTTCCTCGTTGTAGTTTCATATCAATAATGGTATCAATCTTCCCTCCAAGTCTCGACAAGAAAAAGAATAAGTCTGTTTCCCAAAAAGTCAAACTACTCTTTGAACAAAATACTGTTTTACATTTTTAAAATAACACTGAGTATAAAATACTATAAAAGACCTTCTGAACCAACCATTTTGAAAATGTGTAAATGCAAATAAAATCATCAATAAAAGGAAAAGAAATTGTAAATGGAATTGGTTGCAAACATATTCTACATCCTTACCGATGTAGACAGCATTATCGGTCACCATGTACTTGTTGTGGTTGAGGCCATGTTGAATATCATCCTTTTGCTCCTTGTGACTAAAAAACTTCTGCAAAAAATGGATTTAACATAACTAGTATGTATAGATACCATAGATACACGCATTCTTAATTTAAGATTTGCATAATGTATCAAAAAGGAAGAGGAAGTTCACTCAAAACTACAGCCTTCAAAAAACATTTGTACTACGACCTCACATACCACCTCTAGTGAACAGTTGAGCAGCTGCATGCAGAGCGACTTGAGGGAGGCGACGAAGTTAAAGGTGAGAGGGTGAGTCTTCTTCCAGAAGCTTATCAGCAGGCGGACTCTGACTCCTCTCAGAACCACCGCCTCTCTGATCACCTCATCAATAGCCGACCAGTACCTATTGATGCACCCATTGCAATTAGACACTGTTTTACAATCTGAAGGTATACAGAGTGTTTCTCAAAGTTACTGTGTTTCTTCCCTACACCATAACAAATATACAGGTTATAATGGAACTTATTTGTCACAAGAAACCATGTTTGAATGTCCAAGCTCTCAGGAATATAGAGGCTGTACCTTGTGACTGAGGTTCCTCTGAAACGCCTGTTGACCAGAGGGAGGTAGTCTGTCACAGATATGAAGATAAACGTCTTTGCACTTTGGATGACTTGATAAATGGCATCTACATCTCTGGTGCGATCTTTAGAGCAGAAGAGTTCAGGAGAGGTCTGCAGAAAGGATACATCACTCAGACAAGTTTGTACCCAAAATTATATAAATATTACGGAAATAGAAGAACTGAAGGGTGGACAAAAATATGATTTAGACTTTTAACATTCAGTTTGCTTGAAACGTTGGCAACACCCCACTGAAAATTGTTACACTGAGAAGGGCAACACAATTTGGGTTTATTAATTTGACGGATTAAAGGGCAAGAAAAACAGCAAGGCACATTTCTCTTCCCATGTATCACTACTAGTGAGGCATAAGAGCAGGTTGGAGTTGCCAGCAGCTTGTGACAGCATGGCTCCATTAGTTCCTATAAGATGATAAATGTGCTAAATGCAACTGATAAGCATCTTGTCGCTTGGAGGGTAACAAGATTCATTACTGTCAAATTAGGCTGAGGTACTGAGATATTCAGACTCAAGATGCTCCGCAGTGTGGTGTTAACATGATTAATCACCCCCTGTGTGTGTCTGCTATTAGTTGGTAATGAAACTTTAAAGACATCTAGTCCAAAGTCAGGAAATTGGTGCCTTAAGAGGAATATAAACCAGTCTAAAAATGTATTACAGACACAACCTGTGGTTTGTGCATGTTGTATAGAGTCAATTTATGTGTTAACATGTAGTAAATAGAGTAACATAATAAAGCAGCTCCTCACAGACACATAAGCAGTAGCCTGGGTCGTGTTGAGCTGCAGCTCCAGGGCGTCGTGCCTCCCGTAGAGGGCTGTAACTCTCTTCGACCAGATGGAGGGGATGTAGTCCCTCTCGTGTAGCTGCCAGTAAAATGAAAAGACTCGGTGGAGGTCCAGAGCCAGGCAGCTGCAGTTATACACCACCACCCCCAGTTCTTTCCTCTGTGGGGTGTCAGAAAGGAGCACAGAGGAAGAGGTGATGCAGCAGAAAAGTTGCCGTGTGAGTGTACTAGGTGTGTTCACTGGATAGGCATGCTTCAGCAATGTGAGACAGAAAGTAGATAAAAGGCAAAGGTAATGCAGATTTTAGAGTGAGAATAGTAACTCTCTGTGAGAGGATTTGATCACCTAATAGCAGTCATTTAACATTTAACACATTTAACTGGAAACCACAAATGTCAACCTTATGGTGGCGCTAGAGGAAAAGTCAGGAGATCACCAAAGTCAGGATTCATCCTCTGGGCAGAATGGGAATATGAATTATATTTATGGAATGATTTATGGAAAACAATCCAGTTGTTGAGATATTTCAAGTGTCGGACAAACACTGGCATCCATAGAGCTGCTAGCACGGTTAAAAACAGTGAAATAAAAAGTGAACAAGAGACAAGCGTTCTAAATATATTCTCACCAGGTCATTAATTACACAGCAGAAATGTATTTTGTGTTTGTTCTATTTTGGTGAGTGACCCAGAAGGAAGCACACAGTGGTTTCAGTCTATTAAACTACAGTGCCATGTACATTATGATGAATCCCTGACAGCTTCTGCCTTGCTCCATTTTTGTCTCTCTTTTTTCCTGCTCTTCTATCGTTCCCTCTTACTCTTACTGTGTGTGTGTGTGTGTGTGTGTGTGTGTGTGTGCACGCCACACACACACACTCATACATATGTCCATTCCTCCCTTCCCTCTGGCTCCATAGTTAATTACAATGAATAGTAGTTCTACCTCCAGCCAGCACTGAAGCATGAAAAGTGCCAGGTAATCACTTCAAGTAGTAGTATGCTAATGCTCCCTGGTTCCCCCTCTATTGTGAATTACATGCTAAATGCAAAGTGAAATGCTACTTGTCTTTCTAACCCACCTCAGACAGTAATCTTAAATCATCCCTGGTGCCCATTAAGAGTTGCTGGAGTAACTGCATTGGTACAGGTGTACACTGGAATTAATCCAGATTCTGTGTTTTGTTTTAAGTCCCTGTCGGGTGCAAATGTTATCATTTAATTAAAATTGTGTAAGCTAAAAAAGAAAAGCTACTCTAGCCAATTTTAGGCCAGAAATGAACCACAGACCTGACCACGCCTGACTGCAGAGGCTCATTTATGCTCTGTTCTGATTTTACTCTGCACACTCATGTTGTTGATGTTTGTTGTTACCTTGGATAGTGACCTCCAATCCATATCGGCGCTCCCGATGTAAATGTGCTTCCGATCCACTATCCAGAATGAGGAATGTAGTCCTCCTCTGGTAAAAGCTGTCATATTAATAAAATGAACCACTGCAGCTAGACAGAGAGACAGACAGAGTGGGTGTTAGTTGAAAAGTTTGACAGAATGAGATGGAGAGAATTGTGGAGGGCTGGCAGCCGGAGCGGCAAAGGCTTTGAATGTCAGCTACATTTGCACATTCATGATTTTTTTGACCTTCATTGTGAAGTTTGGCAGACATGAAGGTTGTATGACCCGTGCTGTGGAGCTGGGGGGCCCTGCATGGTGTAAATGAGTTTGTTTTCCTTGAGACAAATCAGAGATGCTGTATGTATATTATACTGCTGGCCTAAAACAGGTAACCAACATTCTTACTGAAATTGTTATAGAACACATGAGAATCCTCTTTTAAAAACTGTTTTGTGCTCAAGAAATGTTGTCAGGTGATTTGTTAGGACCCATAAATCTTCATTGTGGTTGGTGACGGTGGCATAACAAATTTCTTTTATAAAATGAAAATATGACAGCCACTCACTGTGTGCTGCCAAGGTCTTCAGTTCAGCAGAGTTAGTCAGACTGCTGGCAATCTTCAGTTTAACCCCACGAGATTTCAGGCTGAGCAGTCTCTGGAACAAAAGCTGACCCTGAGGAAGAGAGCGATGTTCTGTAGTTGAGCATTTGAGCAGTGTTTCCGGATGTCTCTTAAAAGGCCAACATCTCAGCAGGACTAACCTCATTAAAAGACTCCATACAGATTTACTTGAAAATAATTGCATTTCCACTTATAGAGCACCTGGGAAATGCAGTTGGTTCATATTCTGCAGGAATGTAGGGGGGATATATTCAGACAGTCTACCGTGATTTTGTACCTGTTTGGCAGTGCTTGGCATTGTCTCCAGGTCCCAGGGGTTTAAGTCCCAGACAGGTGACACCACCTCAACCGAGTGCTTAGCCTGGTCCAACAGTGTTTGAAAGCCAACAGAGAGAGAGAGGTGGTGTCTGCCATCCACGGGGAGGGAGAGGTCGTCTGGAATGTTCTCCACGAGATTGATGCTGAAAGTAACACATGTGTCTTGAGTTTCTGAAGTCTTAAAGGACATTTAGTTTGTTTGCATATCTGCTACTGCATATGTGAAAAATCATTGGTTGAGTCTGAAGGCTAAAAGTTTAAAAATGAAACAAATGTAGGGGTTAGAGAAAAGTGTTTTTTACCAGGTTTTTTACCTCTGTACCCCATTCCTCATTTCCACTTGAGGCTAGCAGCTCAAAGGTACATTAGCTGCTGCTAGCATAACACATTTGGATCTCTGACCAGACTTTTGGTTGTTGAGTTGCATTGTGGGCAATGTAGGAGCCAGGTTTTTACAGTGAAAAAAAGGACAACATCTCTGGTTCTGCTGAATCAGAAACAACTCTGATCATTTATGAATGGTACTTGTTCCTAAATAACTCGAATTGACGATTATGTAGAATATAATGATGAGTTACTGGAGAACAGACCTGGGGATACTATACACCATTCAGCCATAACATTATGATCACCTGGGCATCCTGGTGCACGCTGGTGCCCAGGTGCAGCTGAAGTTTGGAGCTGCAGTTTTGGAGATGTTCTGACCCAGTCGTCTAACCATCACAGTTTGGTCCTTGTCAAAGTCACTCAAATCCTCACGCTGCCCATTTTTCCTGCTTCTAACACATTGACTTTGAGGACACAATGTTCACTTGCTGCCTGATATATCCCACCCACTGACAGGTGCCATGATAACCAGATAATCAGTGTTAATCCCTTCACCTGTCAGTGCTCATAATGTTATGGTTGATCATGTATTCATGAATCATTATGTTTAGGTTAGTTCATAGATATTTTACACTATACATGGATTCAAATGTGTACTCTTTCATCTTACCGGCAATCTCTGCTACAGTTTTCCTCTGTGATACCATCCTCATCGTCCCCCCAAATGTCGACTGATGAAAAGATCAGTGCCACCAGCACAGCAAAGCAGCAGAGAAGGGCAAAGATGGCGATGCACTTCTGCTGGGTCTGAAAGATGAGGTACACACACATTGAGCAAAAGTCAGCAGCACTGCAGAGCTCAATTCTTCCCCTGTTGTTGTACAGTGGGTTAACAAATTGCAGTGAAGACATTGACATGGCAGTTAGTTTTGGGTGGTGTACAAAAGGGGAATTATCAGCCCTTAAATGCTAATGTCCTCACTCAATACCATTGATCAGAGGTTAGGACTCATGATCAATGCAAAACAACATCTCTGTGTCTTGACTTGACGACAGGGCCGCAGAGGATTTAGAAACTCTGGAGAAAAACCACCCCAGCTTCACAAATCTCACTTTATGCCACAGAGCAGAGGACAAGTGAAGTGGAACGCTCTCCAGCTGAAGGCAAATTGATACACGCTAAACCTCAACTGTAAGGAATATTGGAAAGTCTGGTTTATGCTTTTCTGTTGCTTTTGTTGTTCAAGCGAATCCCAGCTGAGAGGGATTTTATGACCTCTGTGCCAGGATGGATACACCCAATGTTGCATTTATGACAAGCAATATTAAAGACTATATTAGTGCGCATACGTGTGTGCAATATATGGAATATACTGGTTGTAATAACAGTGGAGTGACAGGCTGGTGGTCAGAGGGTATGATGCAGGAGCCTTATTACTGTCCTGATCCAGCCTGAGGAGTCTTGATTTTCACTGTTTTAAAAGTGCAGTTAGGCACTTCTGTTTTGCTTACGACTATAGATTTTCACCGTTGTATTCCCTGCCCTGTTTGGCTTTCTCGGTTTTGTTGTGAGCTGTCATCACATCACACTAAATATTCCCTTTTGTTTGTGCTCGATCAATCGCATGAATAGCATCACACTGATAAGTCTTTCTCAGAGAGATGACTCCAAGCTACAACTTTTATCAAATTTGACTACTAAACAAAAGAAAAACACGATTCAGCACCAAGTCATAAAGAAGATGGGGGTCGGAAGATTGTTTGTCAACCTCATCTCCCACACGTCTCTACACTGTCTGTCTCAGGCAGTGAGGCTGAAACGCTTGTGCCAGCCGGATGCACCTTACACTCCTCTGCTATCCACTGAGACCGCTGAGCTCTTCGTCACATTTAGCAGAGTCAAGGACCATGCTTCACTTGTGGATGTGTACATGGCTGCTTGGAAATAAAGCCTCATGATACAGAACAAGACTAACAGAGTGAGACAGCTCAGTTACTGATGCAGTAAGATGCTTTGACTTCAAAAACACCATAACACAACTGTTTTCAATGCAGCCAAAAATAACCTTACATACTTAGTAGTTTAGAGCTGATTATTCGACACATGGAATCAACTTAAGTCTTAAGTCTTAATTCAAATTAATCAATGAATGAATAATGTAACGGAAGCCAGCAGGAAAATCCAAAGGCAAACATGCCCTAAAATCCAACCTACAGACAAAGTGAGAATAATATCACATATTAAACAGATGCAGAGTGAAGCAGGTTTAGTTGAGGGCTGTAAACGTCACCTTCAAGGGCTCCTGTGTGGTCGGTCCCGCCATGAGAGCAGCACTCCTTCAAACTTCTCTGACAGGTGGGAAGCAGCAGCTCAGTCACACATCTCTATCTGTCTGTCTGTCTATCTTCACCACCCAGTCCTCAGCCTGTCCAACTCTGATGTCTTCACTCTTTGTCTTCATCCTACTGGGTCCTCACTCTCCTGGAAGGTATGTGTGTGCACCTCAGCTACTGGTCCGTCCCAGGTCCTCACATGGTTCCTCTCTGGGCGTGTGTGTGTGTGTGCGTGTGTGTGTGTGTGGCAGAAATAGAGAGAGAGGGGGACAGGGCTGCATGTGTGCTGCTCACGCTCTGCTCCTCAGTGGAGGTAGTGAGAGAGATGAAGAAGGACCAACCCCTCTCGTTCAAACGGCCAATACAGAGCTGTAACTCCGAGCCCCAGCAACCCCACCCTCCTCAATTCCTCCCTCCTCTTCCTCTTTATCTTCCTCTTTTATCTGCCTTGTGAACAAACCTCATCTGGCAGAAAGCAGTTGTGCTCAGCTTTAATGGGAAGGGCTGCTTAAATGTGCCATTGGTGATCCACTGTTTTTTGACAGCTGTTGCAAAGCTATACCAAATTGACTCATTAGGTGGGACATGTACACACATCTGCACCCAGGTCTGCCCAGAGAAGACAAAATAATTTAAAACAGCTATAGCTCCAATTAATAACCTTGACTGATGACATGTAAGTCAGCTGTATTGTCTGCTTTAATCCCCACTGTGTTTAAATCATTGTAATAAATGTTCTTTTCAGTAATGCACCAGATTTTAGAGCACTCATTCAATAAAGTTCTGTCTCTTACTATTGCACAGAAGCACATTAAAGGGCCTCGGTGGGTAAAAATGAAATATGCAAACACTTTCTTTCAACCTTTTATCCGCCCCAACCCTTTTCTCACAGATGAATATAGTGTTGCTTAATAGCAGAACACAACATATGCTGCTGACTGCAGGCAAGCTGCTGCTGTTTATGAGTACAGCACTGTTTAGGGAGTAAAGAAAGGACCTAATGAGGGACGTGAGAGAAATGAGAGAAGGATAGAAGGAGGGTAGAAGAGTTTTCTTAAAAAGTTTACTTCGTTGTAACTTCTGACATACTGTATATAGTAGTAACTAACACAATACGCAGCAGTCTGCTTTATTGTGTTAAAAAAGGTTTTAAAACTTTTAGCCACACTAGTGGTGATGACATCTCGACAACTACTGGAAATTACCATTAATTCTGGTACACATGTTTATGTTTCCCTCAGGAAGAATTGTAATACTTTTGCAGATCCTCTGACTTTCTTCTAGCAAAATTATCTGGTGAAAATTTTAATTTGTCAGATACTTTGGTCTATGATCAGTGGCGTAAGGTAGTTATGATGGGCCCCAGTGTACACTAATAGGATGGGCCCTTAACTACCATTTTTACGTTTGAAAGGGATGACTGCTCGCTCGGCTTGCAGATCTGCTCAGCTTGTCAGTCTAAACTAGCGTATGTTGTATCTTGTCACATGATCAAATACAGACTTGACATTGGACAACATCAACATACATATTACCCAGCAATCATCACTGAATATCAGTATATAAGAAAAAAACCAATTAAAATAAGAAATTGTTTATTGTTGTTTATTTGAGTGGTCTTTCTATAGTTTATTTATACTTTTTATAGTTTATGTAGAACAAGCATATCATTTTCTTATAGACTGACTATTTTACCCCCCCCAAAAAAAAAAAAAAAAAAAAATTAAAACCAGGATGGAGACGGGTTGGCCCTTTTAAGGACCCATATAGCAAATGGTACCAGAGCTGTTAGCGTGGCTGCAGATTCTTACTCTTGCATTCAGTATATTAAATTACACAGTAATTACACTGTAAAAACATAAAAGCCTGTGGCAGTATCTTAATTTATCTCCTTTACATACTCATTAACAAAGTACGATTTTTTTTTTACAATCAAACAACTGATGATTTGTCAGTGTAATTCCCAAAGGGCATGTAGAGTAAGGGTCATTTTTAATTATAAAGACTTGTGGCACACTGTGTGACATTCCAGAGAGATATAACAGAGTAACAAAGTCATAGCAGTGAAACCTGCTGTGTCTGTCTGGGGGAGGTGCCCTCTGCACGTCACCCAGTCTGTGAGTGAAAAAGAGAGAGAAAGAGGGGACAGAAATGTTTGGACCACTTCCCAGGGGAGGTGAATGTCGCTAAAGCTGCATATATGGGGTCAGACAGACACACTTTCATACAGGGAGAGAAGCAAAGTGACAAACAGGATGGGGCTGTCACTGCTTCCCTGACCATCATGAGCACATACAGTTGAGACTGAACCACAGGGCAACTTTAACAGATACTGTACTAACAGTCAGTAGTGGTCATGCTAGGAAACTGTTGACATAAACAATTCAACAACTGCACAGTCACCACCATCATGTAACAGTGAATACTAATGTAGCCTATGAAATGCCAACCAGTCCTGTTTCTTTTCCGTTATGTTAAACCGCTGTAAGAGCTCTTTTTGATCTGTACACCTTTTAAAGCAATGCTATTTGCAGTAGGGCAGTTCAGAGGTCACAGCAGCCTTTGCAGTTCATTCCTAGACTCCCCCCAGACTCTCTGTACAGGACATCATTATCTGATAATGTACCACACAGTTCTTCATCACAAGGGACCAATTATAAATAGTCCTCATCTTTAAGAGCCACGCTGCAAGGCACATTACTTGTCACACAAATTAGCAAATCATAATACAGTGGCTGCCGGTAAAGGCTAATATGCACAGTGTAGGTGTGTATGTGTGTCTCCTGCAAGAATGAGAACTGGAGCCCTGGGTTTTCCTCCATCCTCTCATGGCGCTTTAGTAAGGTTTGATGTATGATTATATTTCAACAGTTATAGGACCTTCTTCGTGCCAAAATGTAGTAATTGAAATGCCATGAAAACAGCCGTTATATGTAACAAAGACTTCCACAACACTTTCACTTTCAACTCAATTTAACCTAGAGGCCTTGATATAGACTACGACCTGCAAATCACCTGAACTATCTTCATAAGCGTACATTTATAATAATTAAAAATGACATTTTGACGCTATTTAGCTATGCATGAATTATGCCCCATCCAAACACACCCCTGTGAGTGCCAATGAAGGACACCTCAATGTGTTTCACCTTCACACCAAAAAGCTCAACAGCAGGTTTCAATGCAGACACAGGACGTTTTTTTTTTTTTTTTTGTTTCCATGGCGTCATACTCAGGGTGATATGTGCTGAGTGAAGGTTTACTGGGCACAACGCCATGGGAGACAGCTGGGCCACATGCCAAAGGGACTGTGGATGGGGTGCAGATAAGGATCCATTGGTGAAAAAAATGATCCTGTTAGGTTGTCTTGTTCAGAAAGCTCCATAAGTAAATGTCTGTCTGTCCAGAGCAGAACACAGGAGCCATTAGTTCAGCCTGTACAACCAAGAGGCCACACGATTAAATGACAGAGGAGGAATAAATTGTTCAATTGATCATTTGATGATGGATTTTATTTTTCATGACTAAGGACTAAAACAAGAAAAGAAAAAAAAAAAACTAGGAACCACTCACTAGTGGAAATATTAATTAAATATTGACAATCTTTCCCATTTTTCCTTCTTTTAATTTAACTGTATCAGGAAACATAAGCAGGGATAAAATAAAGGGGAAATAGGCTCATTCTTATACTATAACAGTAGTCCTCTAATGTGTTGGTTCAATCAAAGGCATTCATATTTTGTTTTTGTTTTTTTCAGGAAAACTAGGATTTTGTACAAAAATGAATTGTGAAAAAAGTTTAAGATGAGTCATGATATGATTATTTCAATTCATTATGTTGCTATGCTGTAGTGCCACCTTTAATTGTAATGCTTTCTGTTTCAGAAGAACCAATTTAGGCTAGAAGTATTGCACTCTAAATGCAATAATGTATAATTATATTTAAAAAAGAGCATTATTGTCAGTCCTTGTGAAAAACAAAGGATGTTTTGCACTTTACTGAGATATGATATACTGCATATATGATATAGTATGTCATATTATATTAAGCTTTTAGGAGTCAGTTCATTCCACAATTCAAGCCAAAAGAAGAGTAACTTGCCAACCACCTGGGAAAACTGTATGTCAGAGAATGCCGAAAATGAATTAGAGACCTTTTCTGGCTCATTCATATATTTCATATACCAAATTGGTGATGTGTCCTTAGAATCTTGTTAGACATTTCTGCTGTTCAGGATTTATGAGCATTAGGTGCATTCTTCCTTTTTTAAATGGCCTAACTTTCCACCAAAGAAATCAGTGAAGTTAGTTTTGATAACTAATAAACATACCGGACTGAAAACATAGCCTCTGTGGTAGAGATAATAAAATTAGGGAAACTCCAGCTAATGCAAAATGAAAACTAGAAAGCTATTCATGTGAACATTGACACATTGACGAAAATGCATAAAAAGGCTACAGATTTCGGCAACTTGTTTCAAGTGGATGCACATTTCCTGAGCCAGCTCTGGTTCCCCTCCACTTATTTTGTATTTTTTTATCAGCCCATAAGACCCACACAGTAAGCCAAAAACATTACAAGCTCATGCAACCACACCAGTGGCACTGTGCACAATTATCAGCAACCCTTGTTTACATTTTTGGTTGATCCTTCCTGTCCATACCCACACAGACACACACAGACACAGACACAGACACACACACACACACACACACACACACACACACACACACACACACACACACACACACACACACACACACACTTTTGCATTGACCATTATCAACCCTGAATCCTATTTGTGGCAGACAGTGATTGATTCACTAATAACAAAACCAATATATATATTTTTTTAATTAAAGTCATAAGTCAACTGGTCGAGGCAGACGACCACCCACCTAGAGCCGAAGGATCTGTCCTAGGTTTCTGCCTCTTAAAAGGCAGTTTTTCCTTGCCCCCGTCGCCAAGTGCTTGCTCATGGTGGTACTGTTGGGTCTCTGTAAATGATATAAGGAGTTCAGTCTAGACCTGCTCTATTTGAAAAGTGCCCTGAGATAACTTCTGTTATGAATTGGCGCTATACAATTAAAATTGAAATTGAATTGAATAAGTAAAATCTGTATTTTATTAATTTCAGTGTCTGACTTGTGGGTCATTTGTTGTAAAAGGACAGTTTGTATTATAGTGTTCCCATCACTGAGCCCTTTTGCAGTTGTGCATATCAGCGGCTTTTGTCACCGGATCACAGACCACTGGGCTGTAGATACACCGTATATAAGTACTCTGCTTTGGGGATGTCAGAAAATATTGAAAAATA